AATATAATCAGATATATATATATATTATAATATGTACGTTGAACACACAACACGCACGTGCAGTGTGAGAGATTACTAATACATCTAATATGTATCCCACTACTTAACATTATTGGAAAAAAAAATAATATATCTGTGTACACAAACCCGACGTATCATTTTTAATCATTTTTCAGTTTCATGGGAAGCTACATTTTACCTAATGAACCGTCCGACAGGAAACATTAAATTATACGGTCGAAATATCCCAAAAAACACGGTTTCCCTTTACACCTTTTATGTGCGTGGGGTAAAGAGAAGTGGGCGCGCAAGCCAACCCCCATAACTAACACACATTTCGTGATGCACCTGTACCTATATATATATTATATGCCTACCAGGATGACGTGCCTATATAATATATATAGATATAAATCCATTGATAAGATTTTAGATTTATGCGTCTCATTATGTTATTATTATTATTAGGCTTTCTTAAAACTCTTACCGTGTCATTGTGTCAATGAGATAATAATAAATTACCAAGTTTTATTTGTATTCGATAAGATATCTCAATACCTATATATGTATAAAATGTATTACTCATACGGGCTGAACGGAAAGTACAAAACGGCGACGACATAACGATGACGTCGGGCGAATACTGCTGCAGGGTGTCTGTCCCAGTCGTTATTATTATTATTATTATACTTTTTTTGATTCCATATTTTTTGAAGACAATGTGCTCTGGGTGAACACTTGACATACTTTTTTGTTTACCTGAACTGAAAAAAATGAAACTATCGTTTCGATCATGGTTAAACTGGTCTGCAGAGGTATCCTTCGACCATCTATGTAATATTAGTTAATATGTGTAAATGTCTTAAAAGTTTAATTACTTATTTTTTTATTTAAGAAAATGTATCGAAAAATTACAACTATATATTATTAAAAAGCCACAATTCATTACGACCAATATATTTTACCACTGAGTAAACGCAAGATATACTCAAAAAATAATATTATTATAAATAGACCTAAAAAATACATCTTGATATTTTGAAATAATTGAAACAAAATTATGTAAAAAAATAATACATCCTACAATTGTCATAATAAACCTACTAATAAAATTATTAAAAAACAAAAAAAACATTTTGAAATGGTTGTTGGAATTTCCTGATGAATAAATAATGTTATAAAGATAATACTGTATTTATTTACTTTAATCAAAAATAATTTAATTTGAATCGTGTATACAAAATAAAAGTGTTATTTTTTATATAGGTTTATATATAATTTGTTTTATAACTCCTAGGCCCCCACACGGGTTTTCATACACGGTATAAATTTATTTAAAATTCTAGTTCAAGAAATATAGAAATATACATGATATTATTATAATGAATTATTATAAAACCAATTTTTAATTTACATTTTATGTGTGAATAATTTGAACAGATTAGTATTTCTCTTTGAGTCACATTTGGAGACCTTAAGCCGACTTGTGAAAAAGACGTGATTGAAGCTTTTTTGGTGCTAACGAATGGTTTGTCATGAATTAATCATTAATAATTTTATAATAGTAATATTCAGATTGTTAATCTACTACAATACTTACCCGCGTTAAAGTTTACAAAGTTGGCGGATGGAAGAAAGAAGCATAAGTTTACATATACCAACCCCTGCAGTAAGCGTAGGGTGTGAACGAGTAGGAAAAACACAGCAGCGAGACGCACTGTATTAAACTCACGTTTGATTCGGTCCAAAGATCGTCGTATTTCAATATAATATGACCGATAAATTTTTTATTTGAAAAGTTTTAGTCGTTATTCGGGCAGCAGTGCCTACCTATATTATGCAATATTATTTAGAGGAAGGTAGAAAATAAAATTTTGTGTTTATTCCACTTAAACAATGGCGTCGACTCTGTAAGTCTTTCGACCTTTCGAGAGCATAATATTAAAATACACGACGATAAATTCAGTCGATTCACTCTCGAACAAGACGTGGTGCTCTCTCTTTCTCTGTTTTCATTATATATTATATCAACCCCGGTACGTAATATATTTTGTATAAAATTATGTGTTAAAACTTTTTAAATAAAATATATATTTTACCGTTAATTTATACGAGCATATTATATCATATAATTCCTACCTAAATATGCCTCGTGAATGCGCCGAGTTTTGAAATCATGTTTCGCCCCATAACTCGTGATTATCTCTTGCCGAAACACATTATGTGAACGTGAACATAATATATAACTTAATAATTGACGCATTATAGAAAAGATGCGGAAAATGGCGAGAAAACGTCCCCGTTTTATAAACCATACTACTATATTTTTTTTTTTTTGTTTTTTATTATTTATTTTTTTATTGTAGTTCCAAACATTCAGTTTCTCGTCAATATAATATAATAGTGCATTAATATACAATTACTATTTTCATGTAATATTATCCGCCTATAGGTATATTTTTATTTAACTGTCGAGCCGTTTAGTACTAAAAGTTGTAGAAATAATAATAATAAAAAAAATATAACTATTTAGTATTTAATATATATTCTTACGTCATGTAAAATATATGACGATTACCTTTGTATATATATATATTATTAAACGCTTATTATTTCATGGTGGTTTTTCTAACGACGTTTTTTTGACGGTTACAAAACAATAAGAAACCGGATTTTAATTTTAAAAAGTAAAAAAAAATGTTTAAATTTAACTGTATAATATAATATGTTTATGAAGACGCCAGACGGTGCAGTTTAACAGCGTTTTACATAAACTAATATTATGCATTTTCGGTGATGGTCTCCGGGGGCCGATTTCGCGTTAATAACTACCATATTATATAATATATTATTTATTTAATTTTCATCGTGTCACCAGAACGGTATTTTAAAACGGACATTTCGATTTGATAGTTATGACGTGTTACCGTATCACACTTGTGCAGTGCCACGGGAATTATTAGTCATAAATGGTAATTTAAAACACATTAACTACGACGCGTCGCGTGGAATTCGGAAGGAAACTGTCGACCACGCGACGATAATATTGTTATTAGTTAATCATTAGTCATATAAAACTAAGTGGTTATGACATACGAACCATATATATGATTATCAATCGAACTGTCGTAATACTACGGATGTGACTCATTGACTCATCATATATTATTACTACGATATCACTGTTACGGTTATTTTTAATTATTACTACTGTTCGATATTGTATAGCATAATATAGACAATGGAGGTACGAATTAGGCGCCTATTTTTATAATGTCGTTTATCGAACCGAGGCCATTATTATTCTTTAACGAATAACGAAGCAATGCAATGAAGATCAGGGAATGAACTTATATGCCAAACTAATAATTATTATACATTATATTATATTATTATTATTATGTAATGCATATTATGTATAAGATAGCCTAATAGTATGCTGCGTGCTACTATCCTCGATATTTCAGGTCATGTTTATTATTTTTGTTTTTGTTCTACGCTGCAATTATTATTGTGACTTTTATTACAGATTGTATATTAAGATCCGATAAATTAAAAAAATAAAATAAATTTTAATAGATGATTAAAACATTTAAAACACATAGCCAAATGAAATATAAATTTATCAAATTTACCCGTTATTCGACGTAAAAAACCATTTGCCAATACATCGTTCATGCGGTATGATTAATTTATCGTGAAAATATTTTATTTTATTATTTGAATTGAAAACAAAAGAAAAAATAGTATAAAGCTGATAGAAATTTGTGCAATAATATAACAGGTACCCTGTTTATCATTCGCATAGAGCATAGATGATATTGCCTAGTTAACGATAAATAATCACTCTGTACACATAATATCATATTGTTTGTCTAGTGTATGTAGGTATATACGGTATAAAACGTAATAAATATCTGTTTCGACAGAATTACCGGGCTGATCTCGCACCGGAAGCACATCACCCGGCTCACGAGAATGATTTTTAGCCTTCGGGCGTTTGCAATTTCTCGTGTGTTATAATATAAAAAATATACACGTTCTAATACGTATACATGTAGGTATATGTTTAAATATTATTATTACAGTGCGCATTTTTATATTCCATTGTCTGCACATTAAACGGCCGCGGCAGAAGGGTGGAAGTCGTCTGCAGCGACGGTTGAAAGAATGAAAAAAAAAACCGTTAAAAACGTACATCGTCGTTTATCTTCGACATGTGCCAGTCGCGTACTATCTACCGGCCATCACACACACACACACACACACACACACACACACACACACACACACACACACACACACACACCCTCACTCACACACACACGCACACACACGCACACCCTCACTCACACACACCTACACAAAAGCGATTGTCGCCGGTGGAACGAAACGGAGAAACGGACGGGTAGGTGGGCGTCATACGATGATAATGATTCGGCGTTTAGCGACGGTGTGTGTATTGTTGTTGCGAGGGTTGGCGAATGTGCCGAAAAACCGCGTACGAATCGGACGGCGTCCGGACACCTGGAAGAATACGAGAAAATAATAATATTATGTCGAAAACGATGTTTTTAAGCGACAGCGATAAATATATTTTCATAAACGGTAGGTGCTATACGGTGTGAGTGCGGAACACGATCCGAGTCCGGCGACGAACAATAACACGACGGTGTAGGCAATAATAGTATACGAGACGCTACGTTTTCTTTTTCGTGCATGCGCGCGCGCACCCCGGTCGAGTAGGCGGCGGCGGTGTACCGTCACCACCACCACCACCACCACCGTCACCGTCACCATCACCATCACCATCACCGCCGCCATCGTCATCTCCGTCATCATTATCGTCGTCGTCATCGTCCATTGTCGACGGTCCGCCAGTTGTACCCACACGATAATAATATACACGTTTACCTGGTCCCCCACCACTCTCCGGGGGACGACTGCACACACGCACACGCACACGCACAACTCGGTGTGTACAAAAAGAGGAGATGGCGTGTCGTGTGCGTGTGCGTGTGCGTGCGTATAATAACGTACGACGACGTCACGGACCGACGGGAATGCGGTCGTCAGGTAGGGCACACAACCGGTGAGTTCCTGTTGCCGTCGGACGACTCGAGTGGGGGGAAAACGTTCGACGACGCGAGCGCCGGCCAGCCGCGGACGCCCGCTCAGTCAGTTTTTGATACCGGTTCGTCTCGCCGTCCGTCGTGTGTCCCGCGCTCGAGTGTACCGTACCTGCGTGTTCCGTCCGTGTGATCCGTGCTCGTGATGTCTTGTTCGCGTCGTCGACGTGCGTGATCCATACGATTTCCGGCGAATAGTGCGCGGGTGAAATAGTACATATTTTTAACTCTTGTTCCGGGGTTTTCGTGCACAGTGTCGACATGTCGTCGTCGTCGCAGTTGTAATAATATTTCGCAGTGCCCGGACAGTTGTCGAAAAGTGCGCGTCGCGTATAACAATAATATTATTATTGCAGTAATCAAATTAATTCTTGTTCGTGCGGTTTAGTGCGAAAATGTGGTGGTTTAGCGGCAATCGCGGTTCGCGGTTCTTGGCCGCGGCGGCGTTGCTGGCGCTGGCGGTGCCATCCGCGGTCCGGTCGTTCGAGGGCTGTCCGGCCGTGTGCTCTTGCAAGTGGAAAGGTGGCCGACGGACGGTCGAGTGCGCCGACCGCGCGCTCATCACCGTCCCGACGGGCGTAGATCCGGAAACCCAGGTGTTGGACCTGTCCGGAAACAATCTGCAGATCTTGCCCAACGAGACTTTTTACAAGGCAGGTCTGGTCAACCTGCAAAAAGCGTACCTGCGCAACTGCCGCATCGGGCAGATCGACGAGAGTGCGTTCCGCGGTCTGACCAATTTGATCGAGCTGGATCTGTCCAACAACATGCTCACTTCAGTGCCGTCGTACGTGTTCCGGGACGTGCCGTACCTCCGCGACCTGTCCGTGGCCGGTAACCCCATACAGAAGATCGAGGCGCATGCCTTTTCCGGCTGTCCGTCCGTCGTCAAGGTGGACGCGTCCCACTGCGGACTTCAGTCCGTGGCCGGTCTCGCGTTCGACGGCGTCGTCAGGCTGGAGACGCTCCGCATCAACGGCAACCGGCTGACCGAGCTGTCGGCCACCGTGCTCGAGTCGCTCAACAAACTCCGGTCCGTCGAACTGCATGACAACCCGTGGGTGTGCGACTGTCACCTGCGACCCATGAAGCTGTGGCTGGCCGGCAACAACGTGCCGTACAGCCAACCGGCCCTGTGCTCGGGCGGTCCCGACAGGCTGTCCGGCAAACCGCTTACCGAGCTGGACGTGGAGGACTTCGACTGCCGACCGGACGTGCGCGCCGAGTCCCGGTACGTCGAGGTAACCGAGGGCCACAACGTGACGGTCCGGTGTCGCGTCGAGCCCGGTTCGATGGCGCACATCGCGTGGTACCTCAACGGCCGCAGATTGCAGGGCGCCGGTACGCCGGCCGTCGGGTATCCGGGCGCCGCGTCCGCTAACCCGCGCATGTTCGTCGTGGACGGCGTGGACGAGGAGGACGGCGGTCGTCGTAGCGAGATGACGCTGACGGACGTGAGGAGAGAAGACGCGGGCCAATACTCGTGTCTGGCCGAGAACCGAGCCGGCAACTCCGAGGCCAATTTCACAGTTTACGTGAGCGACCGGCCATCCGTCATCATGTCGACGTTCGGTTCTGCGCACGTGAACGGCGTGGCCGCCGCCATGGCCGCGCTCATCGTGTTCATACTGGTGTTGATCGCATTGACCGTGATGCGGATCCGGCGGTCCGGATATCCGGCCGACACCAAGCCAACGGAAGTGGCCGGAAACCGCGGTGGCGGCGGTAGCGGCAAGCCCAACACCGGTTCGATGGCCATGCACGGTGGTGGAGCGACGATGGGACGGGGCGGGGGAGGATACGGAAACGGTGGCATGTTGACCAGCGGCGGCAAGACCAACCCCGCGCTGGACATATCGTCCGTGATCGAGCGGAACTACGATCCGGACCTGGAACCCGGGCTAGGATCCGTCTGCACGCCCACGGGATCATATCACGTAGCCGGACTTGACCTGATACACGACCACGACGCTTCCAGGCTGGAGATGTGTGATTCGCCGATGTCCTCGACCGCCAAACCTCCACCATCGTATTACAGCGGAGGCAGGACCGTGTCCAGTGGCGGAAACGTGCGCCCTTACGACGACCGGACGCCGATCATCGGCACCGGAAGTGCAGGAGACGCGTATAGCGTGGGCACCGGATCCGACGAAGTTTTCTCGTACAACAGCCAGCAGCAGTTGCACTACGGCGGCGGTAGTCATTACGGTCATCATCAACAACAACAACAACAAGCCATCGGCGGCGGTAGCGTCAACAGCGATTACCCGGCCGACTACGGTCTGCCGATCTTACCGACCGGTCATCACCTCAATCAGTCTTCGACCAACGTCTCTCAGTACGGCCATCATCCGCAGCAGCACCCCCAACAACAACAACAACTACAACAACACCAACAACAACCACAACACCATCAGTTTTACAACAACAACCAACACCAACATCATCAGCATCAGCCGCAGCAGCAACAGGAATACGTCCAACAACAGCAGGAAGCGTCGCAGCAACCGTCGGTGAAGACCCTGCGGGTGTGGCAGAGGGGCGTACCCGTGTTGCCCACCACGCCGTCCCTGCAGAGGTTTGCCAACAGGACTTCGCCCACCACGCCCGGCACCGACGTCTGAGGGTAGAACTCGACCCGGGATCGTCGTTATCCTTCCGACACCTGTAGTACACCGTATATAATTAATCTTGTTGTACCGTTGCTTTAGTTTTATTTATAACGGCGCGTTTCGTTCCTTTCCGCGTTACTTTTCTACGAATTTTGTTGTTGTTGTTGTTATGTTATTTTTAATTACGTGCTCGGCGTGTGACGCTACTGCGATGACCCGAAACGGACGATTTTTTCCATCCCGGTAACACCTGCGGAGTGGCGACCAAAATCCATGGCCGACCATCGACAGAGCGATCTTTTTCAAATCGTCTGCGTACAGTAAAAAAACAAAGTACCTTTTTTCGGTAATAAAAACTCCGACCGGTTACCTGTGTATAGGCTCGTTTTTTTTTTTGTTTTCGAGAAAAAAATTATCTTCCTACTTTTTCGAAAACCAAAACGAAACGGAAAAAACCGGCCGTGAGATCTCATTCGTTACGGAGACTCGCGTCATGCCCAATGTTGTTCCTCTTGTACATTATTGTAATAGCTGATGTATATATAAAAAATATTATATTATATTATTGTAGGCACGACGGCGTGATGTACCTATATAATATATTATTACTATATCACGCCGTAAACGAGTTATGTGTAAGTATATAACGCGTATAGGCATTATGATTCCCCCCCCCCAAAATATGGCTGTGATGATGCGGTTTGTTTTTTGCTCGACGGCGACAAAGAAAAACCTATTTTATTTTTTATCATTATTATCGTTATGATTATTATTTTATTTTATTTTTTTAAATTACCTCTGTAAGATAAAAATGTTAAAAACAATAATAAAAAAAAATAATATTATTCCGTAATGCAAACGACTACTATGTAGGTACGGAGACGACGGTGACGATATTATATTACATAGGCGCACGCACGACGCATAGCTGAAATACCAAATCAAACATTATTATAATTATTGCAGTTTTATTAATATATTTTTTTTTTATATTATGTATAAATAGTTATAAAATATAATATCCCCAGTGTCCGCGGCCTGCGCCAAAATTCCCGTCGCCCGGCGTCGTAGACTATAATATAATATTACGCATTGTCACTACTATATATTGTTATATCATATTATATTATTATGAAGATTACCTATGATTTTAATTTTTGTAATATCTCCATTTTCTAGTATTATCGTTGTTACGTGTATATAATATATTAATAAGGAATATTATTTATTTGTCGCTTGTGTAGATATAAATGTTTAATATTAAGCGAATTGTACCTACGTTTTTTTTTTCTAATTTTGATGAACTACAATTTCATCGTTTAGTCGTCGACCCAATACAATATTATAATATTATGATACATAAAATACGAATTATACGTTAAGACACAATAATTTATTATATCCGACGTTTTTTTATTTGAATATACGATTATTATTTTTCAATACACCTATTATGCCTGTACCGAACATTTTACCACGCGCATGCGTAGTCGTATACCGTTTTCCCGGCGGCGTAGGTACCATTATATTGACGTGATCTATCGATCTGTGCGGTATCATTGGTATCCTATCTATACGGTTATCGCACACATCTCATGGTTGTTTCGCCGCTGCAGTTCTCCTTGACACGTGGCGGTGACGTTTTATGGACCGCATCTCCGCGTGAAAGTTCGAAGGATGAGCAGCCAAACAGAGAGAGAGAGAGAGAGAGAGAGAGAGAGACACACGTTCGTTGTAATTATTTTTTCTTCGGTCGTTACGCCGACGACGTGCGGCACAGCAAGCGGGAGAACGGTGTTTTTCCTCCGTTCTCTTCTCTCGTCTCTCATAAAATATAATAATGCAATATCATGTGCCGGGTCCACAGCACTGCAGGACGAGAAAATAAAACAAAACGTCGTAAACACACGACTTTTCCCTACGCGCGTACGGGCTTATATACGATCTATATAATTATTGTTTTTCGAAACACCCGGCTGCAGCGGCGGCGTGGACCCGGCGTCATAATAATGTGTTATTACTAGGGCGCGGATTTTAATGCCCTAAAAAAAACCTAAAAATGCCTTAGAAAAAATGCAATTATGACCTAAAAAGTCCAATTGACGACGTAAAAAAATGTACTAAAAATGTGAAAAACGATGTAAAAAAATGCACAACATTATTTTTATTTTATTAAAATTTAATTAATGACATAAAAAAAATAGAATATTTAGAAGATAGCAACAATAGAAATAGCTGATTAGAACGATATGTAAGTATAAAACTATATTTCGTTGAAAAACGGAAATTCTGTCCACTGACAGGACTATTAATAGTGTGGCTAGTCCCACTATGTACACTATACACACGTAGTCCGTTTTATTGTTATCGTCGTCAACTATTATCATTTACCACAATTCATATTATATGAAACAGGCGATAAAGTGTAGTTTTCAATAATTTTGACAAAAAATGCAAAATAATAATTGAATTACACGAATCTACACCACTTGAAACGCATTTTTGCCAAACCGAGCATTGCGTAAGGATTTAGGAAAAAAAATACATTTTGCATTGAAATCCGCGCCCTAGTTATTACATTGTTTTATATCGCACACACGGCGGGTATGGGGCCCAGGCCCAGGGAGTCGCGTATTCGCGTGCGTGTCTCGTTTGATATACCTATTACGATATTATGAGCGAGTTTTATAGTCTCTCGCGTTATAACATATTAATATATTGCTTCGTGTTCGAGCGAAAACTCTCTGGGACGAACGACGGCGACGACGAAGAGCTGGCAGACGGACACGGAGCGAATAATATATAATGCGATGGTAAGGGGAAAAAATCCGATGCTCCGCCGACGAAATCTTCCAAACGGTTACGGACAGGTACACAGACAATCGTATTATATATAGGTACAGAAAACGGCATTGGGTTATATAGCTGCCGGTGTGTATGATGTCGAAGCCACCACAATGACAAAAAAAAAAAAAAAGTTGTATATTATTACACGCAGATGGGAGGGCTCACGGTTTTTTTTTTTTTTCATTCTTTCTTCGGCCGTTCACGATTCTTTATTCCTCCACCCCTCCGCCCACGTATACCTTCTTCGCCGTCGTCGTATACCTATATACAATAATATTATGTATACCTACCTGTAGCCGCACACCTGGTACCGATTATCCGAAATCTCGACGCGGCGGTTTATACGCATCTCTTTTTCTTTTTTTTTTTTCGGTTTCCGACTCTCTCTCTCCCTCTCACGATTTCGACCCATCTCCCCCATCTGTATCTCTCCCCCTCTCTCCGCGTCCGACTGTCTCTCTTCTACCGACGGCGGTTGTGCCTAAAGCATTGTACAGGTACAATAATTCCTATATAGTACGCTGCAGTGAAACTCCGTCGCGTCGGTCGGGTTTCTTTTGTACGCGCTCGTACACGCGTGTATATTAAAGAGGAATATTCGTACACAAAATATACACGCGTATACGACACACACACGCACACCCGTATTTGTAATAACAATGCAGTTCGTGTGTGTGCGTACGAGGACCTGTGCCCCGTCGTAGACACCTGGCCCTGGCGGTCCGCGGTTCGTTTCGCAGTCGATTTCGGAGGGGCTGCAGCTTCTTATTATTGTGCTCCGAGAAACCCTTTGAACGCGACGGCGGCGGTAGTTTTTCCTAGTCAAACGACAGTGTGTTCGTCTTCGACCTCGACGATATAACATCGTATTGTATCGTTATTTGTTTGTCTTTTGTGAAACGTTTTGGGGTCGAGACAAAACGCAAAATGCTCGCCGAACAGGGTAAACAAAATCGCGAGAGCGCCGCTCGCTCTCGGCGGTACCCATCATGTGCGTATTATTCGTTGTAAAATGGTCTCACGTCGTCGTCGCACATTGTGCACTGAGCACACACTATTATCAAACCGTATTGTATATACTATTATATGATAAATAATAATGTATTGTGTGCGTGTGAGACGGCGGACCTTCGTGGCTTTTGGCTACCACTTTCGTATTTGACGAGACAAACCGCGTTAAATGTGCATCGTACAGCGGGTGGGTACGATTGATGAAAACTGATATATGTAGGTATAGAGCAATCCTCGACATTTTCACACGATGGCGACGACGCAGAAACGCACACGGCGCAGGTAGGTATGATATTATAATATGCAGTATGTTATGATATAACGCGCGCAATAGGGAAAATTGAAATATTGTTTTCCTCTCGCATAGTCGCATGTAGTGCACCAGCGTGTGTTTGAATAGGTGTTTTCGGCACGAAATACAAGCAGTTTATATAATATGGTCATACATTACACACACACACACACACACACACACACACACACACACACTCTCTTTCGTTTAATATTATAAATGCGTATTCGCTAGTTTGCTACGTATAGTTTTTGGTACCCATGTTAGATTACGTATTGTGACTCGTATTGCGTTTTAAGAGAATTGCTTTTTTATGTTTCCTTATACGCGATATATTGTCCGGAACGTCATTGCAAGTGGCCAATTAATAAAAATAAAAAAACCCGACGTGTGCGCGTTTTGAGAATACATATTATAATATTGAAAAAAATCTCCTGCTGGTCCCCATATACATACGTATAATATGTAGGTACATAGCCGTACAATAATATTATTTATTAAGTACGTTTCAGTGACGTTAAAAATAAAATAATAAATTATAATGATATTTTATACGTCCCGTGTCTGCCCAGTAATGATAATAATACATTTTTTTTCGTTTTTCTTTATCACAATTTTCCTGACATTAATCGACTAAACGTAGGTGTATAGATTTAAAATGTCTTACATTTTTACATCACACATAATTGCTTACGTCGCTTACGAGATTACCGGCTAAAAGTTGAATAAAGCGCCATAATATATTCATACGCTATTTTAACATTATTTGTATTATTTTCAATGTACGCGATTTGTTACTTTATATGAATAATGTATAATAATTAGTAAATATTGAACTGCAAAATCGAAAGAAATGTACAATAATACTATGCGTTGAGTCGGTGACACCGGATTTTTATGCTATGGACGGCAATGTACGATAATAATGTCGTCGTACCATCATAATATTCATAATATGCCTACATTTATACTCGAAAATTACAATTTGCACAGCACACTACAGAGCGTTTATTATTATTATTATTATTATTAAAGTGGCGGCGTTTGTGTCTCGTTCAACCTGCATGTGATGATGGATACCCGGTATAGGTGCCCCACTTGTTTGCACTGTCTCGTAATGTGATGACAATAATTATGTTGTACCTAGAAAAACCTAAAAAAAAACTGCCGACGACGATAATAATATTATAACGAACCGCCGCCGCGGATGTGCCCCAACCGGCGTCGGCTTGTGTGTGTTTTTTAAAATTATATTTTGTTCGTGCACGCCGTGTTTACGTTTTGATTGTTATTGTTGCATTCGGTGTACCTAGGTATACCGACTCGGTTGGTTATACCTAGGTATATATAATGTATGACGTGAACCCGACAGCAGCTGTACAGCGAGCCCGACCGACTCGAAATCTCCGGGTTGATCTTTATAACGAGCGGCGTCTTCCGTCGAAATTAAATTGCTCTCCGGTAAAAAAAGAATCGGAAAAAAAAAATGAAAAATCGTAACCATAATTTAATAATATAGGCGACGATAACATCGCTGGACGTCGGGGTGTTTTTTTTTCGTCGCCAGTTTTCTAAAATACGACGCATAATAATGTATTTTACCCGTGATCATAAAAAATGCATTCTGTCGCACAACGAAAATCGTTCGCAATTTTTCGGATGGCATTGATACGTTTTCGGAGCGCTTCATATCGGTCACGGACCACGGCGGTATTATATAATATTATAGAACCGCTTTCGGTGTATAATATTGGTACCATATTTGGAGTTGTGGACATTCAGTCGCGCTCGGAGTGATTTTTTGTGAGCCACTAATGTGCGTTGGGGATATTACCCTTTTGGCCGTATAGGAATAAAGCAACGTATTTGTTTTCGCTTGTTATGTGTTTCTAAGCGAGTAATGAGTACGATACAAAGTGCGTTATGCCGAGAGGTCATTTTTATTGCGCGACAGGCAATAATGACAAATATTTATAGATTTATCAAATAACTGTAAAATTTATCAGTGAATTGTTCTTCCATAAAATGTCAGTTTTGCTATCGACCATTGGAGTCCAACCTGGAGTCATTACATTAGTGGTATTCAACTTATCACTTATCACGTGTAATATATAACGTTAAACGAATATAGAATAATATGATTGTTCGTTGGTAACATACCTACTACACAGTTAGTGTTTCAAGTTCAAAATACAAAAAATAACACTAAATCAAAATGATATTATAATAAACGAAAATATTCACAATGTTCATCGACAATTGTATTTGATAA